TAATTTTCCATCATCCAAGGGGTTGAATGGGGTGCACAAGGTGTTGAAGGGTCGGAATTTCTTTTCAACATTCAGTGCATCGCCCCCAATGATTCAAATGCAATTAATTGGACATGGGGTGGTTTCAAATAATTTTTGAGTATTTTTTTAGACTGGGGAATTGAATTTTTTTCCTAATTTTCCATGATCCAAGGGTTGAATGGGGTGGACAAGGTGTTTGAGGGGTGAAATGTCTTTTGGACATTCAGGGCATGCCCCCCAATGATTCAAATGTAATTAATCAGGAATGAGGTGGTTTCAAATAATTTTTGAGTATTTTTTTACACTGAGGAATCTAATTTTTTTGCTAATTTTCCATCTTCCAAGGGGTTCAATGGGGTTGACAAGGTGTTTAAGGGGTGAAATGTCTTTTGGACATTCAGGGCGTCCCCCCCAATAATTTAAATTTAATTAATTAGCCATGGGGTGGTTTCAAATAATTTTTGAGTATTTTTTTGGATTGGGGAATTGAATTTTTTTCCTAATTTTCCATCATCCAAGGGGTTGAATGGGGTGCACAAGGTGTTAAAGGGGTGAAATTTCTTTTGGACATTCAGGGCATCCCCCCCAACGATTTCGGCGCAATTAATTAGACATGGGGTGGTTGAAAGTAATTTTTGAGTATTTTTTTTAGACTGGGGAATCTAATTTTTTTAAATAATTTTCCATCATCCAAGGGGTTGAATGGGGTGCACAAGGTGTTGAAGGGTCGGAAATTCTTTTCACCATTCAGTGCATCGCCCCCAATGATTCAAATGCAATTAATTGGACATGGGGTGGTTTCAAATAATTTTTGAGTATTTTTTTAGACTGGGGAATTGAATTTTTTTCCTAATTTTCCATGATCCAAGGGTTGAATGGGGTGGACAAGGTGTTTGAGGGGTGAAATGTCTTTTGGACATTCAGGGCATGCAGCCAATGATTCAAATGCAATTAATTGGACATGGGGTGGTTTCAAATAATTTTTGAGTATTTTTTTTATACTGGGGAATCTACTGTCTTTCCTCATTTTCCATGATCCAAGGGGTTTAATGAGATGCACAAGGTGTTTAAGGGGTGAAATGTCTTCTGGACATTCAGGGCATCCCCCCCAATGATTCAAATATAATTAATTAGACATGGGGTGGTTTCAAATAATTTTTGAGTATTTTTTTGGATTGGGGAATTGAATTTTTTTCCTAATTTTCCATCATCCAAGGGGTTGAATGGGGTGCACACGGTGTTTGAGGGTCGAAATGTCTTTTGGACATTCAGGGCATGCCCCCCAATCATTCAAATGTAGTTAATCAGAAATGGGGTGGTTTCAAATAATTTTTGAATATTTTTTTAGACTGAGGAATCAACTGTTTTACGTAATTTTCCATGATCCAAGGGGATGAATGAGGTGCACAAGGTGTACAAGGGGTGGAATTTCTTTTGGACCTTCAGGGCACCCCCCCAAACGATTTCGGTGCAATAAATTAGACATGGGGTGTTTTCAAATAATTTTTGAGTATTTTTTTCGACTGGGGAATTGAATTTTTTTCCTAATTTTCCATGATCCAAGCCTTGAATGGGGTGGACAAGGTGTTTGAGGGGTGAAATTCCTTTTGGACATTCAGTGCGTCGCCCCCAATGATTCAAATGCCATTAATTACGCATGGAGTGGTTTCAAATAATTTTCGAGTATTTTTTTGGACTTGGGAATTGAATTTTTTTCCTATTTTTCCATGATCCAAGGGGTTTAATGAGGTACACAAAGTGTTTAAGGGGTGGAATTTCTTTTGGACATTCAGGATATCCCCCCCAACGATTTCAATGCAATTCATTAGACATGGGGTGGTTTCAAATAATTTTTGAGTATTTTTTTAGACTGGGGAATTGAATTTTTTTCCTAATTTTCCACGATCCAAGGGGTTGAATGGGCTGCCCAAGTTGTTTGAGGGGTGATAATTTTTTTGGACATTCAGGGCCTCTCCCCAAACAATTTAGGATTAATTAACTAGATATGGGGTCGTTTTTAATAATTTTTTTGTCCTTTTTCAGAGTGGGGATTTTGACATTTCTTATTGTTTTCTATGTTCAAACGGGTTGCATGGGGTCCGCAAGGTGTTTGACGATTCAGAATTAATGAAATGGACATTGGGCGGTTTCTAATTTTTATCTTCCTATCGCTTAGAATATGACAATTGCCATACCTCTATTTCATCAAGGTCGAATGGTTTGTCAGAGAAATGAAGGTCCCCTGGAAAAAATTAATTGAATTATTCACTCATGGTGTGGCTCTTGTAACCTCTTCTCGATGTTTATTGCATTTAAATGTACGATCTGTAGAATGAATTCTTTACAGAATGTAGATACTATTCCCTAATTATCACTCCTACAGACGTGTTCTGAGGTGTATTACATTCGTTTCACAAAAATTTCCATTGAGCCTTTAATTAACAGATCATTGGGACTTCTATCGTTCTACTAAAAAGTCTGAAGGGTGTCGTACAGAAAACAGTACACATTGAAGGTTTGATTGTATAGTGTTAATGACGGACTCCTGAATAAACCAATGATCCAGTGTTCTATTCATAATGTTCGTGAATATCCATGTCTTCAATAATCGAAAATTTCTTACATTATGAAACATTTTTCTATTTCTCCCATACATTTCGTACATCTATACTTTTCTTCTCAATACACATACATTTCCCATTCATAATCGTTTATCCTATTAAGCTTTAAATTTCAAACAGCATTGCCATCGATTCGAACTCTTATCAATTCAAGAAACTGGCTCGTTGAGCCATACGGTGCTGTATTCTTGTGTACGCATCGCATACTAGGATCCCTTTTCATCTCCTTCAGAATGTCGTCGCTCTCCAGTAAGGCGTCAAAATTGGTCAGCCTCCTCTCAGTGCTTTCAGTAAATGGGAACTCAAATAAGTAGTTTGCGATACCAATGCGTGCAGCATTCATGTCGGCTTCCTCAAACAGCTCACTGGATCCGCTTGCAATCATATAAGCGTACATACAGACATGTACACCGCAGTTGTTGGCACTCATGCCCGGAATTGACTTTTGTTGTGGGATATCTCGTGGTATGAACAGTTCCCATTCTTTCTGGGACTGTCCTCTCGTTTTCTGACGACTTTTTGTTCCAACTCTTATGATAAATCCTGTTATGTTTTCAATGAAATTTTTCGGGGGTTCGCCATGTAAAGAATCGAAATAAATCATGAGCTTCGCTGGAAGTATAGCTGCTAATAACGTCCAATGATTCCCACCTGCATTGTATGGTATTAACCATACATCGTAATTTGTAGGTTGTACCGTCTGTATCCACCTGAAAAATCCAATAGTTGGATGAGTGTCTACCATTTTCTCACAAAAATAGGAATCGAACGGTAAAAGTTTCAAATCATTTCCTGCAGCTACGTCGGTTAGAGTGCTCAAAAAAGCATTTATAATTTCACCATCCAACGCCTTCGTTGGCATGAGTCGTTTGAATGTTTGTTCATTCAACCACAGACCTGCAATGTTTCTCGATAAGAAAGGAAAATCGACCGGATAACGCATATCTTGGTCGAAGAAACGATCTTTAATATCACCACTGAATTTATTATACGTCTTCTTGTTTCCAGGGCTACCATCGCGATTATAGTATACGGTCTCATCAAAAGATTCATCATCTAAATCTTCTAATCCTGTCGAAGGACAATCTGCAAAGAGGTCATCATAATCAGACTCATCATTTTCATTTGTAACATTCACTCCGTTCTGCTGGAAGTTACTGTTTGAATCCTCGCTTTTGTCTTGCTCCCGCTTATCACTGGCGTCGTCAACATCGTTGCTACTGTGGCCTTCTGGAGTACCAACTGCTTTCTCCGCTGGAAAGTAACGTAGTCCTTCGCGTCTCTTTCTTTTGCCGTACGTACCGTCGCTCCATTTTTCGGTTGCTAAATCGGGATTTGTTGACGATTCCCTGCGCTTTTGCGAGGGTTTTTGCTGATATTGCTGAGGTTTTTTGCTGGTATTTTGTGCTCGCGTCTTTGCTTTCAGTACTCGACCCCTCTTCTGTCGTTCTGTGAGTTGAGGGTGTAACCTGTATGCTAACCACTGTTTTGTTTTCTTTTCCAACAATCTTATGAAAGTCCCCTGTGGCAACTTCTTCTTCTTCTCCATCACGTAACTCTTCATCCTTTTAAAATGACTTTCTATTGCTGCATCACTGTCCCTGACGATTCCAAATTGTTGGATGAAAAATGCTCACCACAAACCTACATAGGGTATTATCCAATCGAACATGTAACTGAAAAATCTCGGTGCGTAATACTCATTTTCTTCCAACTCATCGGGCGATTTGTCGGCGGTGAAAGTCTTTGCATGTTCCTCCATTTCCTCATGAATCTTCGCAAAATATTTGTAAAACGGCGAATCTCTCCTCGATTTGCCATCGTTGATAGCCTCGTTTTCAGTATCATCTTTGAATTCTTCACCTTCGTCACCCTTCATCTTGCTTGCCTTTTCCTTACCGTTTGCACCATTTTCTTGCTCGCCTTCATCGCTACTTTCCGAAAATTCTTTATCAATTTTTGTAAATTCTTCATTCTTACTCCTAGCGACATATTCGTCAACAAATTTTTGACACTGAGGAATTTTATATTTCATCCCAAATATCGCATAGAGAGCTTGGAAGGCTTCTCTCGCTTCATCTAACTTTTGCGAATGGATCAGTTTCGTAACTAATGGTCCAACAAGCCTTTTTTGCTCTCTGGTTTTACATTTTTTTTTTTGCTTTTCTAATGATTGTGTTTAGAGTATGCGTAGAACATATATGAACAAGAGTGAAAGTCAATTTTTGCCCCGCTATCAATATTCTCCATAATTTCTTAAGATAAGAATTAACGTTTGTTTGTTCGAGGGCCAAAATAAGTGCAGAAATGCCGGCGATACTAAAATCCAATTCAATTTTGGAGAATATCACTTTCCGCTGTGTATATTGTTTTACATCCCTGAAATATAAGCTCAGTGGGCCTGCCATGTCTGGGATGGAATGGCCATCTGACAGGAATTGTAGTAAAGGAAATGCACCCCCATGTTCCTCAGTCCCTGGAAGAATCAAGGCGTAATACAAGATAATTTTTTGGGTTTCGTCTAATTGGCTCACTACAGATCCAGTTGCATCGAAATACGCAAAAATGGGTCCATCGAGGGAGAGGAGATATTTTATCTGTGGTTCTGAGTACATTGTGACTTGATATTTCCTTTGAATGTATCCTGAAATTTTATCGCCCGTCCAGTATGGATCCTTTTCGTATTGTTTCGTCATTTCGTATATATCAACCAACGGATGCGGATGTAATCTTTCTTTTAATCGGTGTTCACTTCTTATTTTTTGAATTATTTCGATACTTGGCGCTTCATCTCTATTTCCGAGTTGTTGAGCCAAAGGATGTGACTTGAAAAACATTTCATCGCACAGATTACATGCAATCCCACCTTTTTCCCATTTTTTGGTAAATTTTTCTCGTTCTTTTCCCGTGATGGGTCTTCTGTAAACTTCTCCTGGTTTGTGTTCAATTTTCTTCGTCTGTGAAACTGTTACCCTTGTGTTCTTAAAAGGTTTTCCTATTAGTTCATTCACTGCGCACTTGAAGTGCGCACATAAAGAATTTTTACATTTCACAATCGCGAAAAAATAATGCTGATTTTTTTTGGCTCCCTTGCCATAACATCGATAATAGCGGGCTGTCAATGAGCAACCTTTATACACATCGCGTTTCTTCATATATTCTATGAATTTAGTCGTCCACCCCGTTTTTAACTTATATTTCGATGTTAAATATGATCTCCAAAACCTCTTGGGTAAAATGAAATCTTCATTACGGTATTTAAATGCAGATTTAATTTTCTGTGTGGAGATCCTCGATCGTTTCCGGGTTGATTTCGCACTTTTGGGGTCTTCATTGCATTTTTCCGTGTTTGCCTCGCCCAAAACTTCTTCAAGATCTGCATCATCTTCGCTGGAATCATTGTCAGCTACATCGTGTGAAGTAGGTGGAGGAACATAATCCGGGGAATCAGCTTCTTCATTCATATCTTCATCAGCAGGCTCCAATGGGGGGGATGTTGTGGCCCGGCTTTTTGTCTGTGTAAACGAACGAGTGATTGTTTCAGTCTCCTCAGGCGAAGATGGCTCATGTATGAAAACCCGTTCTTCCGTTGATTTAGGCCACTTGGATGATGGTTGCTCCGGATTCACTAAAGAGGGATTCTGATCATTGCTTGGATCTTGTTCATCATTTTCATGTGAGTGAGGCGAATTAATTGTACGATCTGAATTTCCTTCCTCCTCTGTTGGGATCGTACACTGAGATCGTGCTCGTTTGAGTTCGTCAAAATTGTCATATGATTTACTATCAGTGGTGTCAGGTTTGCCAGATTTTTTGTTGACATTCGTTTCCAGTTTTTCCCCCCTTAGACTTACGCATTTGGATGATGATCGTTGGTGTTGATGTGAAGGGGAATTTTCTGTATCATCGGGTGTTTCAATGTTGTTCAATTCTGTCGGATTGATGTCATCATACGTGTTCTCATTCGGTTCTGCTCGGCCTGTGAACTTGGGTGATGATTGATCAGGATGTTGTGTAGAGGGCTGCTCGAAATTATGTTTCGGATTGTCATGGTCAATCTTTGTCTCTCCATGGAATTCACCAGTTTTTTCTTCAACAGTCGCAGAATTTTTAAGTTCATCTTGTTCACAGGAGGTTGTTCTAGATCCTCCTCTTCGACGTAGTTTAGTAGTGTATCTGTGTATAGCATCTTCACTACTATCGAATTGTTCTGGTGGGTCCATCGGATCATTTATGCGCTTCCTAGCAAGTTTCTTAATGGGTCTAATGTATTGTTCTCGGTAGGCGTCTTGACAGCGCTTTGCATGTTTTTGAATCGTCCTTCTATCATGACTCCCAGAAATACGCTGACCAACTTTAAGCCAGATGCTTGCCTCTGAAGATAAATCCTTATAGAGCTCACAGTTAGGGAAAGTCTCAAAATCGATTCCTGGTGAAATCTGCAGGAGGTGCTGTTTAACTTCATCAATAGTGATTCTTTTTAGTTTTGAACGATTTGGAATGACACCTTCGCAAATCGATAAAACAATAACCCACAAGAAAATTGTTAAATTCATCGTGATGTTAAATGATGACAATCAATACATGCTAACTATGTAAAATAGATCCACATATGACAGAAACAATGAGTTTAAACAAGAGGCCCAAAACAAAAATATTTGGAGTAGTATTATCATATATGATTATTAGAGAGACAATGAAGATCGAAACATTTGCCAAACATGCAAATACGGTGTCGGATGATTACGATGTGTCGAGTTACGTCATTTTTGGTGTTGCGTTGACGACGGATGATATTAGTATTATTATATGCTGATAGTGTAAGTCGAATAGTCTGAAGATGAAAGACCATGCCAAATGAAAAAGAAAAAAAAATTAATTGACCGGAAATAATAAGGAATTGATTATTAATTTGTCACTAAATGAAAAATACTCACTATATGTATCAATGAAGAGCTTAGATCTGCTAAAACTAAACTTCGGATACTTATTATACGAAGTGCAAAATTCTGAAACCAATTTATCATGATGTTTATGCGAATTATTCACATTGTGTTTTTCCGTAGGGCAGAAAAAATTCCTGGTAGAACTGTCATTAATGAAAACAAGCAGGGCTGCGAGCCTGTTTGACAGAACCCATGTGACCGTTACTTTATGTATTATTACCCTTTATTTTTTCTCTCTCTACCAATGCGATTGGTAATAAACTTCCGAATGGAAGCATTTGTCTGAATGGTGAGTTATGTGTATTTCCCTGAAATCATTCATATACCACTCCAATTAGATTGAACTATTGTTTGTTATCTGTTTGGAGTCGAAGAGGATAAGCCTCCAGAGGCTAAAATCAGCGAGAAAATGACGTTGTGTGACTTTTTAAGAAAACAAATTTGTCGATGAATTGCTCTATACCAGGATGTATTGAATTGACGAACGCAAAATTTGTTACACAAGTGCGACTTGATAACACTAGTTAGCAGCTAGAACCCCACATGTTGAGTTCAAGCTTTACGCGCACTATAGGAGGCCATATCAACTCACAAATTAAAAAATTAGAAAAACGCGAATATCTCGGAAACTTTGTTTACACACACACATTTTCTAAAAACATCATATCTTCACGTTTCATGACATTCTACATCATTTCATCATTTCATCATCATTTTGATTGTCCAAGCAAAATTGGACAATCTTCAAAATGACGGATTATAAAGCTTCCATTCGGGAGTAAAAAAATCGCAGTATAAACAGCTCAAGAAACAAGCCACTCCAAAATTAAAATTGAGGCAGTTGAATAAATGTCATAAAATAAAGTCAAATTAAAATAAAGTCATCATTATACCAATTCTTTCCCATTTCTCGATGTTACTTATATATATGTTTGCATGCCAGTTTTCCTGAGTACACTACAAAAAGTAGGCTCTTACGTGGGCTCTTCAACTAAGATCTAAGATCGTAAGATCGATAAAAAATCTTAAAATAAGATGTATTTCGGATCTTTTGATGACGTCTTACGAAATTTAAGATACTTTAGGAGTCTTAACCAGAAATAAGACCTCCTCTTTCCTATCTTCAAATATAAGATCCAAAATTTAAGATCCAAGTGGATCTGAATTTAATGATTCTCAAGGTGGTTTAAGAGAAGTGCGGTGTAAGACGCTTTGGATATATAAGACACACGCAGCATTTAAGATACAAACCTAGAAACATACAAGATGATTCCCCGAGTCTTATCATGAATTCCATTAGAGGGGAAGGGGGGTTATAGAGCGGGGGTAGTTGACTAAATCATAATATTTATTATTTTTGATATTTTTATTCTGTTTTTTAGAGCGGCGGAGGGGGCGAAGGTATTTAAGACTAATAATAAAAATAATAAAAATAATAATAATAATTCCTTGAGATTTTTTTCTCTTTTTTGGAACAGCGGGGGGAAGGGGAGAGGGCGAAGGGGTTAGAGCTGAATAGTAATATTAATTAGTTTTGGCAATTTTTTGTTGAGCGGAGGGGCGGAGAGGGAGGGGTTGAAGGGGTTGGAGCCAAATAATAATATTAATTATTTGGGAT